TATTATTTAGAGGATCATGAATTTGTTTATATTTCTTTAATAAAATTAACTTTGTATTATTTGGGGTTCGGTTTTGGTTCTCCTTGCTGTCCCTTATTTAAATACATGTTAGAAGTCGGTTTTTATGACTAGGAAAATATATTTGGGGGCTCGGTTTTGGTTCTCCTTGTTGTCCCTTGTTCAAATACATGTTGGAAATCATTTTATGGCTTGGAAAATATATTTGGGGTTCGGTTTTGGTTCTCCTTACTGCTCCTTGTTCGAATACCCGTTGGAATTTATTTTTATGCTTTGGAATATATATTTGGAGCCATATTTATCTCTTGTTAGGATTAACTTCTTGTTTACATAAATTTCGTAAGTTTGAACTTAAAAGTAGAAGGTGGATGTTATAGAAATGCTTAAATGATTACTTCTCTCATTTTCTTGATATGAACTATATGAAATTTTGTTGGATGAGTATATGAAATATTGTGGTGGCCTATTAGTTTGAGATGAGGAGTAATAGGCCATGATGCAAAGAACCATTTGACAGCTCAGTTTATAGCTGAAAATATAAAATCAATATTCAATTAGTGCGATGCCCCTTTCACCCCTAGATCGTCAACAACTCAAATCTTTTCAAAAGGTTCGAGAATTTGTACTCACAAAAGAACAGATACTATGAATACTACACAGATATTACACTTACGAAAGAACAGATACAACACTACACTGTAGACACCATATCCTGACTAATACATGCATACATTGGATATCACCTACGCATACATTTCATACATCACATAGTACCTCTTCCACACCACATACAGATACACCACATATCTTTGTTTGATGGATCTAGATATGAGCATATCACCTTCTTTTTTTTTACTGCATACACTATATCCACACATTACACCCCGTATGACAAATATTACACTTGCACAAGAAATATATACTACACTCATACACACTATGCAATTCACACACTACACCCTGCACGACAGATCCTACACTCACATATAGGTACACCACACTTTGAGGGGTTTAGATACTGCTCTATTCACATATTCACTAAATGATAGGGTTTAAGACTGTCTGATTATAGTGGTGATTCGTTGGTGGCCTCTAGTTGATGTTGATAGGTTGACCTTGATATGTCAGTTGCCTGTGGGATCGAGATAGAGAGAAAAGAGGTCTAGTCTGAGCCTATCCCCAAATTGAAATCTAATATCTCATCTTGAAACTTTCATATGCTCATCATTTAACCTTTCTTTTAAAATCTGCAAATGTTTACCTAACCCATTTATATCATATAATTGCAATATGTTTTGAAGTTTTAGCGGAATTTGATCAGGTACGCTTTTATTTATTTAATTTATGTACTTTATTTTCTGCATATTCACTTTGATTTTGCATCGTACTATACTTCGCTACATATCTCATGCACTTTCATATTACCTTTTACAACATAGTCTTTTTCGTCTGTTCTTTGTTGTATTGTATACATTTACTAGTATTCATGCTTTAGTTGTTACCTTTCTAGTATGTTTGTGCGATCCCCTAGGATAGGCCGTTCGAGGCATGATTTTTTTTACTATTCTCTCTTCTCTCTCTCCTTTTCTCGGAACAAGATGACGACGTGGTCGGTTGACGATTCATCTCCGGAAAACGATCGGGACAACTACCAAAGACTGAAGGATGAGCTTATGCAGAACCTCGATAGATTTAAATAACATACCTATAGGACGTTGAGGTCGTTCGTCTGTCGCGACGTAAATCCTCACATTATCTTTTGGGACTTTCTACGATTTTCATATCGTACGATATAAGTCCTAAACTTTTTAGACTTTCCGAGGTTGTCTGGTACGACATAAATCCTCACATTTTCTCGGGCTAGTTGCATATGACGTGCAGATACAAGTCCCGAACATCTAAATAAATTGCAGACCTGAAACATCAAATAACTTCTCTTTCAAAGATGTAAAGCCAAACCATAGATTAGTTTGAGATGCTATTGAATCTTCTTCAGTATCTTCGACATCTCCTACTTTTCGTTCCTTTGGATTCCGAAAATAACTATTCCTATTTGAACCTATCCCATTTGACTTTTTCTATGAACAATTATGAAAACTTGAACGTTGAATTCTTGAAGACAAAACCTCTGATCATTATCGAGAGTTTTCTTAGGTAACTTCGGTTGTCTAAGATGTAATTAACTATAGGGGCTTGCTCCTATAGGGAATTTAAGAACCCAGGTTAATCTAAACCCTATCTAATCTGTATATTAGATAGGGGAATTTGTCAGCTATAAATTTCGCAGACCAAAATAGAGTTATAAACTTTTAAGTTTAGATAGTTAAAACTGTCAATAAGTGATATTTTCATCCTTCAAGATAATATATCATTTATGGTATCGTGCTCAGCTGTTTAAACTATTAGATATATGAGGTATACTCGGTCTCATCATTTCTCAAAAAATAAAAAGATATCATTTTCACAAAATTAAAATTACATTATATATATATATATATATATATTAAATTCCAAATTTAAATTTTAAAAATCTTATTTTTTCGAAAGAAAAATAGCCGACAAGGAGTATATACCTTGGTGTATGTTTTTTGCTGATGATATACTTCCCTTGGATAAGACGAGAAAAACCCAGAAAAAACTTCAAGAAAACCTTAAATTATGGAGGTCTAAATTGGAGTCTAAAGGCCTTCATTTGAGTAAAACTAAAAATGAATACATGGAATGTAATTTTAGTAGTAGTAGCTCTAGTGACAGATGTGTAACTTTGGGTGATCAAATTATTAAAAGATGTGAACTATTTAGATATCTCGGGTCTGTTGTTCAAAACAATGGTAATATAGATGGGAATGTTTATAGTAGAATTCAAATTGGTTACTTGAAGTGGAGGAATGCTTCGGGCCTTTTGTGTGATAGAAAAGTACTGCTTTGATTGAAAGGAAAATTTTATAAGATGGTGGTGAGACTTGCAATGCTCTATGACACTGAATGCTGACCTTTGAAAGAGAAGCATAATACTTAGTTAAATGTTGCCGAGATGAGAATGATTTGGTGGATGAGTGACTTTACACTTAGAGACAAAATGTGAAATGAATATTTTCGTGATAGGGTTGGTGTTGCTCCAATGACGGACAAAATTAGAGAGAGTCGTCTTTGATAGTTTGGTTACATTAAACGTAGACCATCTGATGATCCGATTAGGAGAGTAGATGTTTTAGATTTGACTTATGTTAAAAAAGGCAGAGGCAGATCTAGGAAGACTTGGGATTATTGTATAGAAAATGGCCTTAATTTATTAGAACTAAATGAAGACAGGACACTAAATAGGACGCAATGGAGGAAAATGATTCATGTAGCCGACCCCACGTAGGTGGATTAAGGCTTAGTTGTTGTTGTTGTAATAATTTGCATTAATATAACAACAACAACAAGCCTTTATTCCTCTAAGTCATGTAGCCCTGGAGAGTAAGTGACCGATTGTCTCGTTAAAGGACTTAGTTCATTAGATTTGTTTAGATTATGTGACAAGATGAGCTTAGTGGATATGATTTGACTATCTTGAGGGGGAATATTGAGATTTGTATCTTATTTTGATTGATCTAATTTTAAGTAGGGAATATAGAAGAAGTCTTGGGGTTATTTGTAATAAGGATTGTAAGGCTTTTTAGAAGCCAAAGTCATGAATAAAGGAGAAATGATTTCTACCAAAGTTTTCATTTCTATAAAAGCAGTGCACAACTGTTTTGTTACTAAATGCCATTTAATGTTATATCTATACTTTTGGATACCTTTCTCTATTCTTTTGCCTTCAATCCCCTACGAAAATCTTAGATTTCGTTTGTTGCTTTAATGTCTCAAAACCTTTTGTGCTACTTTTATTGTGAACTACTTGTATGAGACGATAAAAATTTAATCAACAATCAATATTGTGGTAGGAAAGTTGCTCTAATCCTAACAATAGGACCAAAGTCTTTATTGTTATATATGAAGTTCCGTGTTTTGCTACATTTTCAAGAGAAAAATGATCCATTGACTTGTTGCAGAGAGGTTATTTTAGTCTCATAATCTATAAAATTGTCAATTTAGTGCCCCCAGGATGTTTTACTATGGGTTGAAATAGTTCATAAGGAGGATTATTTTAGCCCCATTAAAAGTGTCACCTATGATAGTTCCCCTGCATCAGAACCACAGTCATTAACCTACCAAAGGTTTTATTGCCCAGTATGATTTTTTTTTTTTTTTATTATTTTTGCTTTGAGACTCTTATACAAGAGTGCACCCATATATCTAGTTTTAGCTTCTTCTTTCCTTTGTTTTTCTCCAACGATGGAGAAAGAAAACTTTGATTTTTTTGTCACTCCCGAGTAAGTTTTCACCTGTAGTTATGGATGTCATTTTTTTTTTATTTCAAATTTTATTTTGAAAAAGAAAATCTTCGCACAATACTTGAATTAACTTGTGCGCTTCAGCTCGTTTTAAGCTTATATTATCCTAATGCCTAAGTTTTCAACATGTACACAATTTTCATTATTTTTAGGACTCCCATGCATATTTTCCAAGTATGTTGACAATTTTGTGAATTGATATTCAATTATGTACTGTGCTGTCCTCCTAAAACCACGAACCTTGTTGTCAGCAATTTTTTCGTCGTCTACATTCTCACTGATCTATTCTTGATAACACCACTTTTCTTGGTCATGCAGTTTTGGTTTAGTGAGGGAAATAAATAGCTATTTCTATAAAATGAACTAGATGAACTGCAAGGACATTGTTGTTTAATGTGCTTCCTGCCGTGCTGAAGGAGAATGCTATGAATGAGCAGGAGCTGAAGTGGCAAAAGTCTTTGGCCTGTTTGGGGCAGCTGCAGCTGTTTGAAGAAGCAACTGTGAACTTACCGCAAAATAAACTATTATTCAAGAAGTTATGGTGGCTATTACAAATTTTTATAATTTTCAACAGGTCAAACTGCAGTTTTCTGACAGCCATTGATTGTAAAACACAGTTTTTCTCACCACTTCTTCTTGAGAAAGTAGGCAAAATGCAATTTTTCCAAACACATAAGCGATGTGGTGCAAAATGCAATTTTGCCATATGCATAAGCATTTGCGGTGCGGATCACACCATTGCCCCAAACGGGTCCTAAGAGGTCCATAGTAGTTGATTTGGAGTAGCGGTGAGTCCTTACTAGCTATTCTTCTCGGTTGTCTATTCTATATTGCAATTAGAAATTTTGTTCGATTCAGAGTTTTATCTCACTAATTCTTTTATAATCAAATAACTCTTCTAAAAGTGCTTCGCTAATCTTAGAAATTTAGTTGGATATCTTGATTTTCTGCTAGCAGAAAACCTCCATGTAGCCAAAAAACTTTCCATGGAGCTTACTAATCCGGTGGCGTCAATGGAATTCTGAAGAAAATAGAGTATGCCAGACTGCTGCAAACCGGGAAGAGTAGAGGAAATTGGAGCACAAGCCGGAATTTAATGCAGCAGAAACTTTACGTTGGAGCTTCTTTGTTTTCCAGTTAATTGGAGCACGAGCCAGAATTTATGGTGCTGGGGAGGACAGCAGAGGAAATTAGCAGAGAAGGATTAGAGAAGAAGGATTCTTTGGGAGAAATTTTAAAATTTTAATTGATTTTTTCTGCCAGTAATTAAGCCTATTTAAAGGTTAATGCAACAGAGATAAGTGCGTATCCTTCCTTGAACAAACTATAAAAAAGGAATTCTATCTATAAATAATGATATAGATAAGTTCCTACTAAATAATAATTTTTATATGAATTATCTTAATCTGAATTGAATTTTAAACATAACATCCAAACAAATTAAAACAGTTTGAATTCACTATTACCCTGCTGTAATTTGAAATTTGATTCAATTGGCGAGCTTTTGCAGGTTTGATGTCCCTTATATGATGCCCAATTTATATGATTCTATCGTACTCTAGTTCGATTTTATGTGAGCTGACACTCTTTATCTGTAATTTTTTCTTTCAATAAAGTGAATCATTCTCTCATGCTTGTGTTTTTTTTTTTTTTTTTTTGAGCCTTTTTTATATAAATATGTGTGTTTTTCCTTTTATTTATTTTGGCAGCTTAAGAAGCAAACTATTTTGTTAACGCATTAATTTCAGACGTATTGTCTTATTGGTTCTGATTTTTTTTTCTGGTTCCTTTAAAGGTCATTAAAATTCTTATGAAAATTATTAATTTATGATTTTCATGGCCGAAACATGATGAAGCTAAGCACATCAGGTTCTTATGGTGAAATAGATAATTATCCCATTAAGATAATACAATACAACACCAAGGCGTGTTGTTGTTTTTGCCACATTATCATATCAAATTCATGTTAGCATGATTGATTGATATCGTGATTATTGATGGCTACTTTAATGATTCAATATGAAAGATTCTTCTTGACTAAACTATTATCTGGATAATTAATAGCCTAATTTAAATGAGAGATTGTTAGGATGTCTATGCGGACAAACATTATTTTATGATTAATCTATTCGGGTGGGCCTAAAGTCAAATATAAGGCGGCTAGTATAGGTCTGCAACAAGTCTTAATTATTTTGATAAAAAAACATTTTAATTATACATGTAAAGAAATGAAACGGGAAGCTGGAAAGAAAAAGAGATGGGAATCTGCTAGTGGGCTAATTTCTTGGGATAGTATTTAAAATTTTTGTTTTTATGTATGTTTTGTTTGGTTCGCAGGTTAGTTACAGCTCTATTGTTTTAGGCTCTGTTTCATTTGAAGTTTGCAGGTAAGTTACGGTTCTATTGTTTTTGGGTCTGTTTCATTTGAAGTTTTTATGTATGTTTTGTTTGATTCACGGGTAACCATACAATATTTCACAATTAAGCCTTATGAATGTTCGTCTCCTGTCTGTAAAGTGTATCTTAGAATCATAATCTTTATCGACAAATTTTCTGATAATATTTACTGTTAATTATACTGAACTTATTTGTTTATTTTATTACATTTATCGCTTCTGTATTTCTGAAATGGCAATTGCCTCTCAGACTGTTTGACACAATACTGCATTTTAAAACCTTCTCTGTTTTCTGATAGTATGGTATATGTTATCTCTGCATTGAAGAGATCAATTGGAGGGAGGAAGGGAAATTGTGCATGGGATTCATAATTTAATTGGATTAGCATATGAAGGCAAAATAAAAGAATTTTCTTGAGAAATAATGAGGTGCAGATGGTCTGACGATTATCTTATTGGTTGGAGATGAACTAAAAATTTTAAGGTGTTGAGCTCATCTAGTGCTTGGGTCCTCTATAGCCCCCTATGCATGCTCCAAATAATGCTAAACAAGTCAATTTAAGTTGTTTCTTATGAATAATGAGGATTCTTTTTCGTACGAATTTGACACAAGGTTATTTTCATGTGGGTCATTTTGTCATCATATTTGGGTTTTACAAAGCAAAGTATGCTTAATTTTATTTTTAATACTATTTGACTAAGAATAATTGCGGAGTCACTCAAATTATTTGGTTCTTACATCTGGATTGTAACCGGAAAATTTACATATGTAGTGTGCATATGAAACTTTAGTTGTGAGATTGATGTAAATACATAAGAATTGTGTGCT